ATGAAACAGTCTCATTTATAGTCACTGAGTGTGTATACATTACATTAGTGCATGAACCTATAGCACTGGTAACCAACTGCACCTGTACAGTACCACAAAACATTGCCTCTATGTACATGTACTACCAATTTAACCAAACCCTATGCTCACTCCCTTCACCTCAATCAATAGCTAATGTACACTCTCAATTACAATGTACATGCATACATGCTCTTAATGGATGTATGTACTCATCAAAGAAAAGACAAACTTTAAATGCACACTATTGTAGCAATTATGTTTGTCTGTACAATATACATACATGTACAGATTAATAAACTTGTGTTGACAAAATAATCAAGTAACGAATTCGAATTAATAGTTACAAAAAGATTGTTCATTGATCATTCACTTAACATAAATTTCATATTGTCCAAAGGAAATATTTTCATCACTTGTTTCTTGATCACAGCATAACCTCATCTCAATATTATCAGTAGTAGAATAACCAAAAGATCTATAGAACCAAGGAATAAGAGTACGCTGACAACAAGTGGTTTCAGTACTACCACAACCTTTACCATCCCATAATGGATCAGAAGAATATAATGTAGTATAGGATGCTGCTGTATTGTGATTACCAGCTTCACAATAATAGTGAGAACCAACAAATGATGGAACAGATTTTGGATTGTTACTACCACAAGGACAGCCACTAAAAGCAATACCTGAATATCCACTAATCAATGACCAGATATGTTTCCTTGGGTTACCATGTGTTAGACTAATACCATCAATGTATGGTAAGTTAATAACCTTGCTTGAACGAAATGCATATGCCCCATCTGTTGATCCAACCTGATATCCAATGACTTTACCACATACTTGTGAATACTTTATATCTTTTGATGGAAATGTTATACCAACACAGCTACCACTATTAGTATCTGGTCTACCACAAGCACGAACTCCATCTTCTGAATAAGTTCTAAACTGAGTAGGACATTTCTCATTAGGATCAGTCATATTCAGACTAGCTATTCTTCTCCACCCTCCTCCTTTACCACACAGAGTCTCCATGTGACAGTATACATGACGACTATGTCCATTAACATCAGCTAGATTATAATAACCTGAAGGACTGTTAGGCCACTTACTGAGGATAGCATCACATGAGAAGAGGAGAGGTGCCTCTTCATAATTTCCAGTCACATTAACATGTTCCTCCAGCAGTTGATAAATCTTCTTAAGATCAGATGAGAGAGAAGACACTTGTGATTGCAGTGAGCTAATGGCTGAAGGAATATCTTGTTCAATAGCACTCAGTCTAGTACTAAGTTCAGCAGTGCTGGTGTCCAGTTTATTGTTAAAGTCTAATGTGAAGTTCTCCAGTTTATTGTTAAGGTCAGCAGTAGAAGTGTTTAGTATTAGTTCAATCCGTTTCAGTAAAGCCAATCCTTCTTCATTACTATTGTTAGTGGAGCTCTCCTTGTAAGATCCTATCATTTCCTTTAGCATCGTCAGTTGGAGTAGACTAGTGACACTCGTTATACTCTCACTCACTCCATTAGATGATCCTTTAAGCTGATCACTGATATTAGTCAGTGAATTCTCAATGAAAGACAAAGTAGTAGGATTAACACAAGTACCATCAAGTGTACTACTGGCAGATAATGAATAAGAGCTCATACAAAGAACCAGTAGAATAGAATACATCTTCATTCCTCACTGTAATGAAACTGAGAGACGAAACACTCATACAGACTTATTTATAGTCTTGCTACATGTTTATGCATTAGGGCAAGCCACAAAGTAAGTAATTAGTAATTTCTCAGATCTCTCTCTCTTTCATATTACCACAATTGAGGGACTGTGCAGACAGTATGACTAGACATGTTATTCCCTTATAGCCTCACTCAACCTTTTAAACCACATTATAATCTAATAATGAACCCTTTCCTAATACTCTACTATCAGGTGCTCCATTAGTCCAGCCCTTACTGGTTAGTAGTCAATTAAAGAACATGACCATTGTTTGTAGAGTTCAAGCCTCTCACTCACTCCACAGCTGTCCTACATAAATCCCTCAGTCCAGCCCTTCCTTTGTACTAGTAGTAACAAAGATATAACCAAATCCTTTAGTCTTAAGCCTCATTCACAATCACACAGACACTTTAATGATCATTTATAGTGGTTATACACTACACAGTAAGAATTTATGCCTGAAATATAGCTAATGTAAAACTAATTGTGATGCTCAAATACACAGCATACATGTATGTTATGTGTTGAGTCATAAAGATTACGACAATGTGTACTGATGCATGTACATATGCGTACATGTACATGTATATAGCTAAAATGTAGACTGTAGTACAAAGGACCAGTGGAATACATGTACATGATGTAGAATATAAATGAAGACAACCTTTAAATAATGAGCCTTTTGTAATGCAATTCTTTATTACTTATAGCAAAACTACTCATTTCTTGCTTTCACAAAAGTAATTAATCACTTTTAAAATCATCAAAAAGCTAAACAAGCCTAGCTCTAAAAACTATGTGTCCAATAATTGATTCACTTAACATAAATTTCATATTCTCCAACAGGAACATCTTCATTACTTGTTCCTTCATCACAGCATATCCTCATCTCAATATTATCAGTAGTAGAGTGAGTAAAAGATCTATAGAACCAAGGAATAAGAGTACGCTGACAACAAGTGGTTTCAGTACTACCACAACCTTTACCATCCCATAATGGATCAGAAGAATATAATGTATTAGCAGATCCATGTGATTGGTGGCATCCAGCTTCACAGTAATAGTGAGAACCAACAAATGATGGAACTGGAACAGGTGCATGACTAGCACAAGGACAGTAATTTTCATTAACATCTGACTGTCCACTAATCAATGACCAGATATGTTTCCTTGGGTTACCATGTGTTAGACTAATACCATCAATGTATGCTGAGTTTATAACTTTGCTAGCATGACGGGCAGCTGCTCCATCTGGTGTTCCATCCTGATATCCAATCACTTTACCACATACTTGTGAATACTTTATATCTCTTGATGGAAATGTTATACCAACACAGCTACCACTATTAGTCACTGGTCTACCACAAGCAAAAACTCCACTTTGTGAGTAAGTTTTAAACTGAGTAGGACATTTCTCATTAGGATCACTCATATTCAGACTAGCTATTCTTCTCCAGCCTCCTCTTTCACCACACAGAGTCTCCATGTGACAGTATACATGACGACTATGTCCATTAACATCAGCTAGATTATAATAACCTGAAGGACTGTTAGGCCACTTACTGAGGATAGCATCACATGAGGAGAGGAGAGGAGATGAAGGAGCCTCTTCTTCATCATCTAAACTCACATTAACATGTTTTGCTAACAATCGAGACAACTTGTTAAGATCAGATGAGAGAGAAGACACTTGTGATTGCAGTGAACTAATGGCTGAAGGAATATCTTGTTCAATAGCACTCAGTCTAGTGCTAAGTTCAGCAGTGCTGGTGTCCAGTTTATTGTTAAGGTCAGCAGTAGAAGTGTTTAGTATTAGTTCAATATGTTCCAGTAAAACCAATCCTTCTTCATTACTATTGCTAGTGGAGCTCTCCTTGTAAGATCCTATCATTTCCTTTAGCATGGTCAGTTGAAGTAGACTAGTGACACTCGTTATACTCTCACTCACTCCATTAGATGACCCTTTAAGCTGATCACTGATATTAGTCAGTGAATTCTCAATGAAAGACAAAGTAGTAGGATTAACACAAGTACCATCAAGTGTACTACTGGCAGATAATGAATAAGAGGTCATACAAAGAACCAGTAGAATAGAATACATCTTTACAATCCTCAAACTGTGAAATAAAGCCCTCATACAGACTTATCTATTTATAGTCTCCTGTATGTTTATGCATTAAAGAAAGCCACAAAGTAATTCATCGTAATAATTAATGATTTCTCTCTCTCTCAGAACCTTTTAAACCACATTATAATCTTATGATAAACCCTCTCCTAATACTCTACTATCAGGTGCTCCATTAGTCCAGCCCTTACTGGTTAGTAGTCAATTAAAGAACATGACCATTGTTTGTAGAGTTCAAGCCTCTCACTCACTCCACAGCTGTCCTACATAAATCCCTCAGTCCAGCCCTTCCTTTGTACTAGTAGCAACAAAGATAACCAAATCCTTTAGTCTTAAGCCTCATTCACACAGACACTTAATGCACAGTAAAAAAGTTAAAGCATGAAATATGGTTAATGTTATATTCAAATTGACAACATGCATTGCTATTACATTCTAGCTGATGCATGTACAATTGTACATGTATTATGTTCAGCTAAAATGTAATGGCATAGTATTGCTCAGCAAAGCTACACATTTCTTGCTTTCACAGAAGTAGTTGATCACTTTTCATTATCACAAAACTACAACCACTCAACTAGCCCTAAAATCAACTAAAGAGGAGTCCAATAAATCAAACAAAAAGTACTAACAGCTACAAATGTAGATGTACATGTTAAGTCGGTAAATTCATTTTACATAAATTTCATATTCCCTAATGGCAACATCTTCATTATTTGTGCCTTCATCACAGCATATCCTCATCTCAATATTATCAGTAGTGGAGTGAGTAAAAGATCTATAGAACCAAGGAATAAGAGTACGCTGACAACAATTGGTCTCACTACTACCACAACCTTTACCATCCCATAATGGATCAGAAGAATATAATGTATTAGTAGATGCACGTGATTGGTGAGATCCAGATTCACAATAATAGTGAGTACCAACAAACAAAGGAACCGGATAAGGTGTGTCACTACCACAAGGACAGTCACTGGAAGCAATACCTGTATATCCACTAATCAATGACCAGATATGTTTCCTTGGGTAACCATGTGTTAGACTAATACCATCAATGTATGCTGAGTAAATAACCTTGCTATCATGATGAGCAGCTGCTCCATTTGTTCTTCCAACCTGATATCCAATCACTTTACCACATACTTGTGAATACTTTATATCTCTTGATGGAAATGTTATACCAACACAGCTACCACTATTAGTCACTGGTCTACCACAAGCACTAACTCCATAAGTTCTAAACTGAGTAGGACATTTCTCATTAGGATCAGTCATATTCAGACTAGCTATTCTTCTCCAGCCTCCTCCTTTGCCACACAGAGTTTCCATGTGACAGTATACATGACGACTATGTCCATTAACATCAGCTAGATTATAATAACCTGAAGGACTGTTAGGCCACTTACTGAGGATAGCATCACATGAGGAGAGGAGAGGAGATGAAAGATCATCTAAAGTCACATTAACATGTTTTGCTAACAATTGAGACAACTTGTTAAGATCAGATGAGAGAGAAGACACTTGTGATTGAAGTGACTGTATTTTGTTGGTAATCGATGCATTGATGCTTTTCAATAGCCTCCTTTCTTCTTTATCACATGACTTGTCCTTATAATCTTTTGCCAGTTCCTTTACTAATGCTAATTGAAGGAGACCAGTTAGTCCTTCACTAGTAGCACCATCTGATGAACAGGATGATCCTTTAAGCTGATCACTGATATTAGTCAGTGAATTCTCAATGAAGGACAAAGTAGTAGGATTAACACAAGTACCATCAA